ACTATGCACGCTTCACTCTGGACTTCTGTAATGAAAAGAATACCCACTCACATATCCCTTTTAAACAGATCTCTCCCTCATCTGTTTCAGTGAAATATACATCATTCCTTCCTTCCTTTTCTGTCTTCCCTCAACCCTGATGTCAGTCCCGTTTTACAACAGTGGCACTATGTAATATTTGTCCTTTTGTGACTGAGATATTTCACTCAGCATAATGTCCTCCAGGGTCATCCATTTTGCATAATATTTCATGAGTTCCTTATTTTTCAGTGCAGCATAGTATTTCATTGTTTGAAAATACCAGCGCTTCTCTATGCATTTGTTTGTTGATGAGCACTTGGATTGTTTCCTATTTCATTTGTTGTTGTTGTTGTGAAGTGCCATCGAGTCGCAGGCAACTCATAGTGACCCTATGAAGGAAAGTCCTCGATGCTTCGGTGCCTTTCATCCTCTCTTCAGGTTCATAGGGTTTTCGGAGGCAAGCTATTATGGAAGTGGATGCCACTCCTCCTTCCAAGCTTGTTTTAATCGGGGAGCTCCACCCCACTCTCCTATTTCATTTAGATGGATGAAATAATAAAAGGGGTCTTTAAAGTGGAGGCTTAAAGTTTGATTTATTTAAAATAAAAGATTACCAAATACATATCCCACAGAATAACAGATGAATCTGAACAGCACTTTTCAGCAGATGACTGTATCCACTATGTCACCACCATGTCTGATATATAAAAAGTGTCTTCACTCTCTTTTATGTAATAAAGTTGCACTGAAAAGTGGCCTATATTTAATGAGACAGAAAAGAAGTAGCAGCCAGGTGGAGACCCCAGAAGGGTAAGAGTGGGATGGGACCAGGGCAGAGAACCTGAGGTGGAGAGAATCTGTGAGAGCTACAGTGAGCAACCACCTGGCCTCACTGTCTCCATCTCCTCTTATAGTCCTTTACCTCCATTCATGTAAGTTATGGCCACGTGCTAGAATTTATCACCAGAAATGCCTCTGCCTTCTGAAATAGCAGTCTGGCATTTTGCCCTTTGGCCTCATTCTCTTTTGCTTCTACCTTATGACCTCAAGGTACCTGTTCTTCATTCTCATCATGACCTATCAGCCATCAGGCTTTACACTTTCTCCCTGTTCTTCAGCTAACCTCTTCTCTGCAGTTCAGGATCCATCACAACCAGACAGTGACATAGTTCTATTCCAAATGGCCTATCCCATTCTTGATTTCTTTCTTGCCTGACAATCCAATTCTCTAGTTTTCTAGACCTACTTTCTGAGAAGGATTAGTTTCTCTTAGATCAAAACCATATGACTAAGCATATGGTTCCTACTTTTGGTCATTCTGTCAGCTTTCCAAGGCTGTAAATCTACACAAGAGTTTACCTGAAGAATGTCTCATGGATTCTAATCCATGACCTTTTGAGTTTTTTTTAAATTTCCAATGCCCAGTAGTACACCATGCCACCAGAGTTCCTGACTAGGTTTTAGGTGCCTTATATATACTTAGAAAACACCAATAAAGGAAATAAGCAAACCTCCCTTTGCTCAAGAATTTATATGACTTTTGTGAATTCACTCTCCAAACTGCTTTTTCTAGTATTTCTCCACTCTGACCTCGTGCTGCTGGATGGAGTTACAAGCTAACGAATGGCAACTTTAATCATGAGCAGTACAGAAACAAACCAACTAAGAATTTTTTTTTAAGAATAGGAAAGAAAACCAATGCAAACTTCCACATTTCTTTCATTAGCCACACCGTATGCTTCCTTAGCTTTTCCAAACTGGGGATCTATCCTTGCTTTACAGGTTTCAGTTCATAGCAGTTTTCACCCATCTCTGTCAGCTTCTGATAACTGGCCTTCCAGAAAGAGACATTAAAGTTACTGCTCTGTGCCCACCATCAACCAATTACATCCAAAACTCTGGTCTGGGAGTGGGGTCACATGCAGGAATCCTCTGGGATCAGAGCCAAGTGCAGGGGGTTCAGAAAGCCGAATCTCATAAATGTGTAGCTTCTGTGGACGGGGCCACGCGAAGGGCGGAGCTTGGGGTCACATGCAGGGTGTGGTCTGGGGTCCATGCCATGGGGAGGCAGGGGCCTGGGACAGTGTCACATGCCGGGCAGGACCTGGAGTGGGGCCACCTGCAGGGCAGTTGTGGGAGGGGGTCATGTGAGAGATGATTCCAGTTGCAGGGCGGGATCTGGGATGGAGCCTTGTGGGACAAAGTCTGGGCCCAGAATCCCCTGCACATGCAGCTGTGTTTCTATGGACCAGAGCTGTGTGCAGAGTAAACCAAGCAGGTTGATACTGGGTTTATGATGGATGTCACTGATGGTTGTGAATACTTCAGGCTTCTGGATTCTTCACTGTCTCTTCAAAACAGGAAGAGTTGAGATTTCTCTGGTGAAAGTTTCTGGACTTTGAGTGTCCCCCACCGCCCTTTCCTCTCTACCCATCATTTTCTTCTCCAAAGCCGAGCTTGGAAGGGTCTCCAGGCCGGTCACCTAGCCCGGCCGTTGGCAGACCTGCTCTTCCCTATGGGCTCTGATGGAATTACGGAGAAGATGGTATTAACTGGCAGTCCTGACAATATCGAGACTACACTGAGTACTGCCTGCTGCATGTTACTTACTGATGAAGATCTCGGCTAATGCCGATCTGTCCCATGAAGTTGTGCTGAGTTGTAATGAACGAGCACTGGAGCCTCAACATAGTCAGTAAATGGGTCTGGACACCCGCAGAGAACCCACGGTCTGAGTATATTGCACTTGCGAGGGCAGACTTTAAGGCGTCAGTCAGCCCCCATGCTAAGTGAAACAGTCACTGTCTCTTAACTATGCAGGTCAAATTAAAACTCAGTGCCTTCAAGTAGGAATTAACTCACACTTCACCCTCCATTGAGCTTTCCAAACTGTAAATCACATAGAAGGAATTTGTTTCTTCTTTCTCACTAGGAATGGCTCATGGAAACCCCAGGCAAAATCAGGGAAGACTGTGAGTAAACAGAGAGGAAGAGGGCAGAGGCAGAACCATTTGTCCCTACTTGTGAGCCTCAGGACAGCAGGATGTGAAGCGCTCCAGTAGACAGGACAGCAGCCATTATGAAGGGTAGAATATTTCATTTTCTGTTATCTGACCGTTTGTCCCTACTTGTGAGCCTCAGAACAGCAGGATGTGAAGCGCTCCAGTAGACAGACAGCAGCCATTATGAAGGGTAGAATATTTCATTTTCTGTTATCTGTTTATATTACTCAGAAAAGGATTCATACATTTATGGAGGAACTATTACAGGTCTGTTTCTATTTTAGATAGAAACTATAGGCATGCTTTTCTTCCCAAAAATTGGAATAGAGTTCCTCTTGTGATTATGTTTTCATATGTTGTGTGCCGCCAAGTCAGAACCAGCTCATAGCTGACCCTCCAGCAGACTTTTGAAGGCAGTAAATACTATCAATGGGAGAGATTACCCATCTTTCTTCCTCAGAGCACCTGGTGGATTTGAAACACATGCCTTTGGGCTGGTAGCACAGTTCCTTACCACTAAGGCTCCAGGAGCTTTTAAAAAATAAGACTTCTGATTCCAACCCTCAAATCAATCACTTTTAACATCTAAAGGTATATCTTTCCAGATTTGGTTTCTCTAAAGGCAGCGGTAAAAGGGAAGATTCCAACAATTATCCAGTCCTAACAAGTTTCAGTCTGTTTTGTCTGCATTTGGCTCATCAGACAAGTGCAGGAATACCATTCAGTACCAGGAGACTGACTTAGTGACCAGTCCTCAGATGAAGACTTTCCTGTTGAACACGCAGAGGGTGTCACCTCTTTTCCGTGGATTGCAAGCCTGATGGCTACATCTTCCTCATCGCCAAAGTCTCATTTCAATCAGTATATCCTTTCCCATTGAATGTATATGACCCTCTGTGTAAAAGAGTTTCTTGTAAAGGCATGATTTCAGCTTTCCTAGGCCACTAACTGTTTTGGTCCAGATCCATGCTCTTTCATGGCTAATTAAGTGAAGCTTCCTTTGCATTCTAGTATGTGTATATGTCTTCAAGTCCCTCTCTATGGGGGGACCTGGACTATCCTCCTCAGTAATACCTAAGTTAGGGAACATGTCCTATCTTCTCAAAATTCATGACAGAGAGAAGAAGCACTTGAGAGTAGTTATTTTTTTTTTATTCACCAAGAGATCCAAAGTTATTATGTCCTCCTACTTCTCACCTCAACGTCAAACATCTGCATACTTCCAGTGTGGGGGCGGGGGAAACCTTGCTGGAGGTCATAGAAGGATTTCTTGCTCAATAAAGATCGAGAAAAACCCTCTCACATCACAGTTGAGTGTAGGAGGGGCTAATAAATGAATAAGCAGGCTAAAAGAGAATTGAAACAAATATTGGACTTGAAGAGGTTTTTCTCTTTTTGAAAAGACCTCAGTGATGTTGTTGTTGTTGTTGTTATGTGCCGTCGAGTCACCTGCGACTCGTAGCGACCCTATGAGTGATTTTAGAATACACTTTTTCTATTTTTTATACTAACATTATTTTTTAAAAAATATTCTAATTTTACATGTCCTCAATACAGGGTCAAATAAAAGAGTGTTGGATAGGTGTCAGCTGATATTGTCCCAGCTCCCTCCAAAGGACTAGTCACCTTTGAGATGCCAAAATGTAGGCAAACAATAAGAGCTGAACTAACTCCTTCCTTTTCTAAGTACAAGCCTCAGGCTACTAAAAGCCTAAACAGAACACAGAGAAGACACAACTCACATATTGAAAGAAATCTTTATTGGAAAGGATCAATTTTCTGTTGACTATTCAATATTCTGCAAGACTGCTCAGATCAGAGATGTACTGTAAAAAAATATTCAAAAATTCTTCAAGAAGAATCAATTATTTTTGAGGGGAGCTTGCTCCTTCTTGGAATTGTTGTAGAAGCATTTTCTGTCTTGAGAGACAAGATAGATTTCAAAACACAATGTCCCCATCAGTGAGGAAGACTGCTTCAGGTACTTGGCATACTTGATGCATTGTGGAGGTGGTATCCATGGCACACAGACTCCCTAGGGTTTGGGATGGAACAGTAACTCTGAGATATTAGGTGGTTGTGAAAACCCTTTGTTTGCTGAAGATGTCTGTTCTTGTTTCTGATCTGTCTTTCTCTTGAATGGCAACTGTGGCCTTTAGGTACAGCTTTTTGGCTGCCAACGTTGGTACTGGATCTTTCCCTCTGTTCTGGAGTGGAGAGAGCCCTGATATTGGAGAAAGGCCCATCAGTGGACTCGACATGGACTTGCATTTCTGTCTCATGATGAAACCCTTCTCTGCATCCTAGTTTCTCCTCCAGCATTTTCCCAATGACTGCCATGAGCTCCTGAGCTTCATCAGACCCAGAGTCCAGTGGGTCTTGGCACTGTGCAGGGGTCAACAGGATATTGGATTTTTGGAAGACACTGTACTTCCGCTTGGAATAAATCCACTGGAAAAGTTGCTTTACCTTTTTTCTGAAGAAATTTTCTTCAGGACTCTCTTCCTTCTGTGATAGGACTACGGGGGAGTCTAATTTCTTAGTCTCCAATTTCTTGGTTTGGGCAAGGTGGTCTTTCCCTCTTGATTTAGATAATATCTCTAATCCTAAATTATTTGTTCTATACTGTCCTAACCTAGGTCCCTGATGGGTCACTTTTCTGTCAGTAGGTGTAAAGTTTTTAATCTGGCATTCCTCTAAGACATGCTTACAGTTTGAGAGTTTCTGCCTCTCTTCCATGCGGATAATTTTGCCTCTTCTGTGGACATGCAGGTCTGGGAAAGATGCCATAAGCACACAGGGGACTTTCTGATCATGAATTGGGCATGCAGTGGAAGGAAATCTAGTTGAGGCAAAAGGGGTGTTAGTGGAACAGCTTTCAACCTGACTCTGGCCATGAAATTTCAACTTTAATTCATTCATCAGCTGCTTTTCAAGTTGTAATAGCTCAGGATGGCAGGAAACTGACATTCTTGGCAATATTGAGACTTCTTTAATTAAAGCATTTCCTACTTTACTCATATTCATGTTTGTTATTTGTGCATTTCCCAGCTCTCTGGTTGTCAAAATATCACAAGATGATGATTGATGACCAAAGAACTCCTCAGCCTTTACTATCTCCCTGCACAGGTTTGTCACTGGAACATGTTCTAAATTCTCCTCTCCTGTCATAGTCTCCTGAAACATTTCTACTTCGCCCTTGAAACTCACATGCTTATCCTTCAACTCATGTCTTGAGTCATCTTCACTTATATTCACCTCAGAGTTCTGCCTACTCAGTGTAATGGGCTCACTGTGAAGCCTTCTGTGTGTGACACTTTGTTTGAGGGGAAATAAATCCTGCTTGTCATCCTCAGTTGTCTGAAAGCCATGTGGAAGTATCTGATCACTGTCAAAAGGTTTTAGGGTCTTTTGCTCTTCCTTATCTACAGGTGAGACAGCAGAGAGAAGACAATCTTTTGTGGAGACTGATTTTATTGGTAACAATTTGTCTTCTGGTAAATCTTGAGAGATTACTTCAAAGGATTGGGAAATTATGGCTTCGGGAGCCTTCGCAGAAATCTGGTATGTTGAAGAGGGTAATTCAAATTGGGGAAGAGGCCATGATTTGGCTTCTCTTAGTGTATAGAATTTTATGGATTCATGGACCTTGAGAGGCAGGCCCCATTTCTGATTCATTCGAAATCTTACAATATGGGCTTCTAGCATTTGTTGAGTGATAGGATCAAGAGATGTGGTATCCAGAGTGGGAGACTGGCAATATTCTCTACCCACTGATTGTCCCTCATTTCCATGTTCAAAATTATCATGAGAACTCCCAGAAAGACGTAATGTACCGTCATCAGCAAGCCATGAATGACATACAATTAAAGGAATCCTGCATTCATTGATCTGCCAAAATTTCTTAATTAAGTGTAATTTTAGAATCTTTTTCATCTTGTCCTCTTCTATGTTTTCTTTTGAAATATTTAGGAATTTATTTTCTGAATCTTTCTTTGAGTGACATACACTTTAATCTTTAATCTCCTCAGAGAGAGCATTTGGGCCTTTCATGAAATCGTGTTCGGAGACTCTTGATGTCTCGTCTATGTCTATTGAGCCATTTTCCAGCCTGTATTCAAGTCTATTTCCAGTGTCCTTCTTTGGAAGAAACATCGCCGAATTCCAGTCAAGGGAAATCCTGGAGGAACTCAATTCAGTCTCCTCCAGATCCTTACTTCTCTGGTTCTTAAACACAGAGTATTCTGAGTGAGCGTGTGGGTGTTTCTGTTCAGCTGGTTCTACCAATTTGTACCCAGGTTGCATCAGAGCAAGGGACTTTTGTTCCCTACGGGCATGGAGGCACTCATGTGGCATGTGGAGTGCTAGTTGCTCCTTGGGTTCATTGGTGATAGGGACTGGCTCAGGAATGATAGGGACTGGTACACAGGTCTGGGAGGGCCGGCTGACCATCTGAAAATTGGGAGCTCGAGGATAAGAAGTTTCTTGAGGTCTTTGGCGCATAGAGGCTAAGCCCCAAAAACTTTCCTGTTGCTTTTTCAACAAATGCCATTCTAGGTTTTCACATTTGACAGAGGAGTGAGAATTGCCTTTATTCTTGGTCCCATGGACACACACCCCACAGGCTCGAAAATGGTTTGATGAAGAAGTGGGTAGGTTAGAGTACGAGGGTTGAACTTGAGCCTGGGGCTGAATCATAGGTTGAAGTTGATACAGTGGTTTGGAATGGGATTGCGCAGGGTCAAACGGCTGGGAATGGACACTGGGGAGGCTAAGGCCATGAGTCTTAGGATGCTGTGGCAGTTCTTTGTCCTGCGTTTGGACAGTGAGAGGATCACAGATTCTATTGAATAAAACAAAAGGAGACTCCAGTGGAGAATAGCTACCAGATACCAAGACAGTTGCTACTAGTGACTCACTATGCAGAGAAGGGAGACCCCAGAAAAACTGGCTATGTTTCTCCTGCACATTTTCCCCGAAGCTCATGATGTATAGGAGCTGCTGACAAGCACACAACTGCTCTGCTTTGCCTTCTGTATTCCAGCTGTTTTCCGAGTCTGTGGTGTCCAAGGCGTTAGCAAATGGCAGCAGTGAATTCCGTGAAGATGTCAGTGAGTATTCAGACCACATTTGCTTTGGAAATGGCCCCTTATCCTTATCTTTATCCTCTAAACTCATAAGGGCCATTCTTCTTTTGATTTGTCTCTCCAAGAGTGAATGGATATTATGGCCAAGGGAAGAAAGACCACCAAACTTCATGGGCTTGCTTGCAAAGTCTTCCCACAGATAGGTCTCTGATTGAAAGAGGGAAACGTGTCCTTGTGGAATATCACAATGTGGTAGTGTAGAAAGGAATAATGTGGGGAAGGCATTGGTCTGCAAAGTGGAGATTTCTGAAATAGAGAAGCTGGAATGGTCACCACCTGTGAGTGTAGGCTTATAATAGGCCAACTCACCAGGCTTCACTGGAGATAAGCCGTCAGGAACAGGTTTCTGGGTGATTTGTATTAATTTAGATTTTGTTAAAGTACAGTCTTCTTGAGGTGAACCCAGCTTTGGTTGGGAAAAGCAAGGCGAGGGGTTAATATCTTGAGATTGGGCAGAGTCACATGAGGAGACTGTGTTCAGAGACAAAGCAGGATCTAGCTTTAGAACCTGATCCACTCTCTGATTGTGATGTGAAGGGGGTGGGGAGAAGGTAGGACGTTGAGGTGGAAAATGGTCCATTGACGATATGGAATCTAAGGGGGGGAATGAGTTCTGTTGGGAGAGAGTCACCCAGTTTTGTGGGTGAAAGAATCAAGTTGTTGATCGGGTCATGTGAGGGATTGGAAGAGAGCAGTACAGAGGGTTCAGGTGGAGAGGCTGGCCTTTGGTCTTCTGGAGGCTTTGCTAGGGTGGAAGTTGATTTTGTTACAGGTGTTATCGAAGCCAAACAGGACACGTCAGGAGCAGAATCTTTCACAGTCCCTCTAAACAGCAGTTGACTGACCTCAGCTGTT